GGTCGGACTCGATGATCTATTGAGGTCCCTTCCGACCCTAGCATCTATGAATCTATGAAACATCCGCTCCTTGATTCTTGGGGGGAGCAGCCCTTCCCGAGAGAGGAGTGAAGGGAAGAGGCTACACAGCAATCCCTGCACTGCCCCTGCCTGTTCCCACACACCAAACCCAGAACCGGCCCCAGGGATGTGGCTTGTGGGCCACAGTAGGGGACACTGGTAGCGTGGCTCCATACCTTGTGTCTGGGCTCGGGGTGTGGGCAGGTGGACTCAGGGCATGTGGGACAGCACAGCTAGGCCCTGGAGGGGCCTGGCCTGGTTCCTGCAGCACAGTTCTGCTACAGCCGCCCCATAGGAGGGGACGGGGGAAGAAACAAGTGGGGTCCAAGCTGGAGCTGGGCCGGTCTGTGACCAGGGCTGTACGACCATGAGGCCGCAACTGTAGGGAGCGGTACTGATGTCCCAGACAACCCCTCCCTCCTGCATTTCATGTCCCAGTGTCCCTTACCACCCCTGGAGTCCCATGTCCTCAGGGCCTGCAGCACACGCGCGTGCACCTCCCTGGCTGCCTGCGTCCCACTTTGACTCCCTCTCGTGCCCTGGGAAGGGCTCCCTGCGCTGAGGAGGGTTGCCTGGAGCTGCGTGGCTAGCATCCCTGGGCACTGGGGCCCTGCCCTGCATCCTGTGAGCTCTCTCCGGCAGGCAGCTGGGGCCAGGCTGCAAACCCCTGAGGCCCCAAAGGAAAAAGGGGGCTCTGCCCAGCCAGGAGCATCCTGGGGTCCCTTGCTGGCATGGGAGGAGATTCAGAGGGCACGTGCCCTCCACTTGGGCTGCTATCAGGGAGGCATTGGGACAGGCTGGACATCCGGCCCCACAAACCTCGGGGAGGAGCCGACTTCCCTCGAGGCTCCATCCTCTCCATTTCCCCACTCAGGCAGCGGGGAGCCCCAGCCTAGGCTGCGGGTCACAGGCAGCCTCCCCCACCTCCTGTTGCTGCAACCCCAGCACCAAGCCCCCAGCCTGGGGCCATGTCTCCCGCGAGGCAGGGCAGGTCCAACACAGCCAGGCCTCCCGGCCCGTCTGGCACAACTCACCAGCGAGGGCCCCGCCGGGCCCACAGTCACGCTCACTGTCTGCGGTTGGTACCCACGGGCAGAGGCGGTGACGGCGTATGTGCCAGGCAGCAGCAGTCGGAAATAGTCCCCCTGGTCACCTGGAACGAGAGCGAGAGCACTCAGGGGTGCCAGGTCTGGGGCCAGGAAGGCCTCGGCCCTGCAG